TTTACAATCTCACAATGTAACTATACAAACTACCACCTCAAGTGTTGGTCTCTCACGTGTCTCCCTCAAGTGTTAGGAATTACAACCCACCTCTAGGTATTACCACCTACCCCACTCCTCTTGGGACCGACCACGTCTCTCATCTCTATACTCCTCTTGGTCTATTTGTGCAATATAGTGTGACCTCACAATTAAGCTCTCAATACAACAAATGATTGTTCTCTAAACAAGGTGAGAACTCAATTAAGCCCAACTCAATGTTATAATCTCTCACAACCCTAATAATACTATGTATAAAAATACTAAAGTTCAATGTGGGTGTGTGTAACAAAGAGATTAAATAAAACAAACTAAACTCAAATAAAATTCTAACTTATGAAAATTATGAACAAAACAAAAAATAGCTAGAAATAAAGTTTAGAAAACTTCTCTATAGATCAAGAGAGAGAGAGAGAGAGAGAGATGAGTTGAAGCTCAAACACCAACGGATGATCTCTTCTTCCTCTTGTAAAAATATCTTCACAAACAAAACTTGTAAATACACTAAACAAACTTTAAAACAAACTTTAAAACACCCTTTAAACTTGTTTAAAAACTTTCTTAATTTCTTTCAGAAGTTAGAGGGTATGGGGTATATATAGGATCATAAGACAAAGCCCAAAAACCAAAGAAATCCCAGCAAAAAGACAAAATAATGGCAACATGAAAATCTAGAAAAACTAGTCGTTATGTCATCGGTCAACTGATCAGTCGACTGATGAGCTGACCGTTACAAGGAACTGGCAGCTCATCGGTGGACTGAAGAACACGATCAGTTGACTGATGTCCTCATCAGTCGACCGGTCAGTTGCCCAGAATAAAACAAAAACTTTTGCTTATTCAGGTATTTTCTTCAGTCTACTGATCAGTCGACTGATAACGTGATATCAGCCTGTTTTGAATAGTAAATCTGATTTTTAAACCTTTTTTAAAAATAGCAAATCAAATCTGAAAAATATAAAACTTTAGGAAATAATTATAAACATGTTAGTAAACATGTTACAAAAACTGGTTTTCAAAAAGCACCTCCCATTTGTAAAATATCATCATTTTGCAAATATGTCCAAAACATGAAAACATGAGATACTTGAATTTTGATGTTTTGACATAAACCAAGTTTTAAAACTTTGTAAAATAATTTTATAGGCTTGATTAAATATATAAACTATTGTTGTTAAGTTTATAAACTAAAAACTCAATATTATGAAAAAAATGAAGTTTTGCACAATATGCATTTAACAAAATGATATATATGAAACATAAAATATGTATATGAATGTATATTTGTTTCATATCTATAAAGCTAAACCAAATCAAAACAATAAATATGAAATATATAATTTCATATTTATATAAACTTAAAAATCAAAACATGTATGTATATATATAACTATATATAGAAACAAAAAACTAAAATGTGTGTATATATATAACTATATATATATACATATAAACCAATAAAATGTGTGTATATATGATATTGAGTTTGAAGTATTAAACACACATAATATAAACCTATACTAAATATACTATAAACTATATACCCAAGCTTGAAGGTCTTCAATATAGCAATGTTTTCGTCGAAAGTTGGTCTCATTGTGGAATTCATTATATTTTTGATTGTTTACAATGAATTCAAAAGAAGATAGCCTTTTTATAAGACCTCTCTTACACAATAAGAAAAAAATTACAACTTCCTAGAAAATAACACAGAAATCGTTTATCAACTCCTGTTTTTGTGGGAACTTTGCTTGTGCCGGGGGTGCGTTAGCCCGTGGACCACCGATTCATAAGATTCTGATTGAACTGTGAAGGCTTTTGAATGTTCTTTTTCGTTTATCGAAATAAGAACCTTAAGCGATTGAATGTTCTTTTTCGTTTATCGAAATAAGAACCTTAAGCGAATATCTTATCGATGTAAGATGTTCACTCTTCCAAAGATCAAGTCTGAGCTTATCGATGTAAGATGTTCACTCTTCCAAAGATCAAGTCTGAGCTTAGATCTCTAGGAATCACCAAAAACTTCTTAAAAGTGTTTTTGAAAGATGAAGACTATCTCTCTTTCTCAAAATTGCCAAAAGCTCAAGCCTCTATGCTCTAATTCTGCTCTCTGTTCTTGGTCTCGTGTATAAGTAGGTATTTATAGGGATAGGGGTCCATAACTGTGGAAATGGAAGCAAAATAACTGACCAGTCATACTCTCTTTGGGCGCGTCAATCTTCACTGTCACGGTCATTAGCGCGTCAGTGCAAGCTGGCGCGGCTAAAGAGTCAGTTTCAGCCACGTTCAGCCACTTTTACAACTGTTCTCCCACAACTTTAGGTCCACAAAATGCCACTGTTCTCGGCTTATAACCATCCCTCCACGTTAGCACACGTTCTCCTTCTTGTATGCCGCCACGTGGACTCTCAAAAGATGCTAAAAAACCGTCAGCAAACCTATAGTAGATTACCCTGCTGTTTGCGCGTCACCAAACCCTGCCGCGCATACGCGCGTCACAATACGCCGCCACGCCATGGCGCGTCACCATCAGCTACCGTGCCTATGCGCGTCACCACATGCTGCCGTGCCTATGCGCGTCACCATATACCGACGCGCCTAAGCTCGTCAGTATTTGTTGCTATGTTAACACGCGTCAATGTATTTTGTCACGGGCATGCACATTGTTCTTTTCTTAGTCTTGAGCTGTATTTGGATGTCTATAAGTATTTTTTTATGCCTACAAGCACGACTTGGTAAACTTACGGATGAAGCTTAAACTTGGATCTTGAACTTGAATTGCAAGGCTTCACTCTATTATTCCGCCAACCTCCATTGGATATGATCGTTAAAGTGCAATTCCATCCAACCTCCAATACATTGTTTGTCTACAATAGATAAGAAAATATAAACACTAGACAAACAATATTAGTAGTAAATTGTTTGTTAAACATCATCAAAACAAAAGGGCCAACACCGGGCCCGGGCTTGAGCGGGCCGGGCTTCGAGCTGGCTCGGATTTTCTTTGTTTTTTAAATTTTTTAATTTTTCAAGAATACAAAGCAAAAAATAAACACAATTTTGATTAAAATTTATATTATTAATCAATTATAATTATGTAATTTACAAATATAAAAAATTATAAAAATTAAAATGATAAAATGATATAAAATAATTATAGAATTTGTAGAAACTGACAAAATTAAAAAAAAATGTCGAATTCAAAGAGCTTAAGAGCTCAAGAGGCCCAAGGCCCAATCAAAGACCTCCAAATATATATATTGTGGCTAGGATTTGAACTACTAATCTGTTCTAAATTTACCAGTAGGACTACAGTACCACAAAGTATTCATGTCATTCAATATATATATAATCATATACTATATAATATATATATATATATATATATATATATATATATATATATAGAGAGAAGAGAGAAGAGATTAATGGGTATCCTTGTCATAGGAGGGGATTTCCTTCTTGAGCCTATGTGACACAATCCCACCATCCTCATAAAGTAAGAGAGAGTGTGTGAGTTGGTGGAGATTTGTGCCTACTTTATGAGGATGATGGGATTGTGCCACATATGCGACAATGAGGGAAATATCCTCCTATGACAAGGATACTCATTAATCTCAATCTCATATATATATATATATATATATAAATATAATATATATATATATATATATATATATATATATATAATATATATATATATATATATACGAGAGAGAGAGAGAGAGAGAGAGAAGAGAGAAGGAGAGAGAGAGAAATGGGGTATGCTTGGTAACAAGCATAAAAAAGTTTGCTTGGTAGTGGATGACATAATCCCCTCACTCATTCAAATGGTTTTGCTATCCCATGACACTTCTCACCCCATGTGAATGTGATCCGCCCATTTTGGAATAGTGAGGGGATTGTGTCACTCACTAAAAACAAAATTTTGTATTGTAGCCAAACTATACCCTATTTCTCTGCTCATCCTCGTCCTTCTATATATATATATATATATTATATATAATTTATATATATATATATGTGGAAAAGTGAATCTAAGGTGGCACCACTAGCTCTCACCTAAGGACCGGGCGCTAAAATCACATCAATTCCCTAATAATATTTTTACGATCCGCATCCGTTGAAACCATTATCTACACGTTCTAACTCAAACACCAGCCATTTTGGGTGAACCCGTCGTGTTTTGACCATTACTGTTGAGTCGTTTCCAATAAAGTTTTTCATGAACTTCATTCGATAAACCGTTAAAATTGCGGCGAGTGATGAAGGGTCAAAACACGACGGTCACCCCAAAATTAGTGTGTTTAAGGTTTAAGAAACGTGTACAATCAAGTTTAACGGAGGCGGATCGCAAAAATTTTTTTAGGAATGATGTGATTTTAGGCCGCGTCCTTAAGGTGGGAGCTCTTTTTAAGGTGACACCTATGATTCAGCTTTCCATATATATATATATATATAATATATATCATATATATATATATATATATATATATATATATATATATATATATTATATATATATATACTTAATAAGATAAACAAAAATTTACTCATTCCGGTTCGCTCGCTCGAGCCGGCGGGAACTTTACGAGGCGGCCGGGCTCGGCGACGTAACCCGGTTTTGACCTGGGTTTTTGGGCCAGGCCCCGAGACGGCGGACTTTTTGGCCACCTAATATGTCAGCGTATGTAAGCGTATATTGAAAGGCATTTTGGAAAAAAAAATATTTTAACCTCCCAATCTATTTTTATAATAGTATTAGATAATCCATGTACAACGATACGAACACAAAAGGTATTCTAAGATGCATACATTTTCTCGCACCGCTGCGCAAGAGGAAGCGCAATAGATGGGTAAAGTAACTGTTGCAAATCAACGAAGTTGGCCTATTCCGTTGGGCTTTATTTTATTTATTTATTTATTTATTCCCTATTTTGTCGTCGAGAGAGTACCTGCAAGGCACGTGATGGTTGTAGGCTTCGGTGGGTGAGTGGCTCCTAGAATGCTCGTGTTATTTCTAGAATCTCGATACATTTACCCGGAACGCCTTCTTGTCCCTTCCATTTTCCCCGCTGCAAGCGATCCTCTACATTAATTTCGAATTGCACCCAGATACTTCGAGATCCTTCCACCTCCAACTATATATAAGTTGTCAACCCCATCCCCCCTTCATCACATAGCAGAAACAAGCTAATTCCCAAAGGCGAAAGATCGATCTTGTTATTGTCTGACATTTAGCATTCTTCAGTTGAGAAATGGCTCTGATTCCGCAAATCTTCGGCCAGAGGAGCAATGTCTTCGACCCTTTCTCCCTTGACGTCTGGGACCCTTTTCAGGGCTGGCCTTTCGACTCTTCTCGCTCGCTAGCCGATCGATCTCGTGCCAGCGGTGATCTCAGCGAGACCTCTGCCTTTGCCAACACCCGCATCGACTGGAAAGAGACCCCCGAGGCCCACGTCTTCAAGGCTGATCTCCCGGGGATTAAGAAGGAGGAGGTGAAGGTTGAGGTGGAGGAAGGAAGAGTGCTTCAGATCAGCGGAGAGCGGAGCAAGGAGCAGGAGGAGAAGAATGACAGGTGGCACAGGGTCGAGAGGAGCAGCGGCAAGTTCTTGAGGAGGTTCAGGCTGCCCGAGAATGCAAAGATGGATCAGGTTAAGGCGACCATGGAGGACGGTGTGCTCACCGTGACCGTGCCTAAGGAGGAGGTCAAGAAGCCCGAGGTGAAGGCCATTGAAATCTCTGGTTGAAGGAAAAGTAGAATCAACTGGATATGAAGTGTTAGGAGCGAATCTGAGTCCGAGGTTATTATGTGCGTGTATTAAGTGAAGGGTGTATGGTACGTATCATGTTTGGTTGTGTTTTGAGAGTTTGAAGTAGAAGGTGTCTGAGTTTTGCGCTGCTTGAATATTGTAATGCTGTCAAGGTTGTCTATTGGATGTTGGTTCAGTCTCTGATTTTAGCTGTTATATCTTCATCCTGAGCTCTCGGTAATTTGTTTGATTCACATTCTGAAGTTGTTCTCTGTTGTAATCAATTTTTGGGAAATTTATTTTGTATTCTTTTACTTTATGCCGTCAATCAACTGCTAACTTTAACTAACTTTTCCCACTATTAGCGTCTTTCCCCTAATTATCCAGCAATTCATAATAATTATCCAGCAATTCATAAATGTAATAGGCTAAAATCTGTAATCAAGCATAGCTATGAAGTGTTATACAAGATTACTTTTAATTTTCAAAATAATGTGGATTATAATATGATGTACAGGTAATTCTGAAGATCACGTGGGATTAAGGATTTGCTTTTTCTTTTCTTTTTTTCTTTTTTTTTCCCTTATTTTTTTGTCCGGGAATCAAAGTTGAAAACTTGAGCGATTCCCTTGTTTCTTTAAAAGATCTTATATTTTTTAATAATAACAAAGTCGAAGTCAATTAGTTCCATTTAAATTTGTAAGATGGTCGGTCTTTGGTAGCTCGTTTAGATATCTTTTGTTAGCGAGGACGCAACCGACTTAGTTTTGAACTAAGGTACCTAAGTTCCGTCAAACGTTTAGATGATCGTTCGTGAGACCGCATGCACGCTTATAAGATTTTGGTTGATCACGTCTCTTTGCGCTCATTGTCCTTTAATTTTTGTTTTGGTTGTGACTCGGCCGTTTTTGAGATAAACTCTCAACTTTAAAAATTGTCACAAATCCCTTCTTTAACTCTGGCATATTTTGGAGTAATCTTAACTAAGTTTTAGAAATGTCATTGCACCACTTGGGGGAACTTTTACTTTTGAAAGAAGTTCCAAGCTAAAACTTGGAATAATTTGAGAGATTAGAACTCTCATTTTTGTATAGAAAAATAAAAAAAGTAGGATAATTTTGTATGATAATTTTGTATTATTATCCCTATTCTAGTTTTGATAGAGTTCTACTTGACTAACACTGTAAAATTTTGTTCTAGTTTTAGTTCTATGTGACTAACACCTTAAAAATTTATTTTACTTATTATCCTAGTTTCAATTTTAAGTTCTAGGTGACTAACCCCCTTTAGTGATGTTAGATGAACTGGTATACGGAAAGAAAATTTTTCTTTCTTTAAATTAACATTCTAATTATGATATTAAATTATTAAACTATTCAATACTTAATTAGTCAAGTTTCTAACCGCAATTTAAACCGTTTTTAATCAAAATCATTCTATAAGATTATAGAAAAAGACGGGAAAGGATTTTTTTTTTCCTTCTATTTTGGCATTTTAATTGTTTGAATACATGTGACTTCTACATCTGAAGTTAGATCTAATGACGTTAGGAGAATTATCTGACAAAACTTAAAAACAAAGGTAATTTGCCAAGCAATAAAGCTCAGACTTGTAGGCACAGTGAACTTTTTTTTAACCACAGGGTGGCGAAAGGTTGTGGGTATCGTTAGGAACTTTATCATAATGCATGTGACAAAATCTTGGAGCATATGAGATTTTTTGAAAATCAATCTTGTATTTTAGAAAAAAATATATTAGGGAGTGTACTCTCAAAAATTAAGAAGAACAAAATTGTATTTGATGCTTAACAGTAAATATAAATTTTACCATGATATAGAATCGAAAAGCACACTTAGCGAGTGAAGGGCTAACTTTAAGACATCGAAGATATAAGGGACTACATTGACAATCCTAAAAGTGAAAAAGGAAATCCTTATGCGTGAGTGTTTGTTGCTGTGTGCTTGTGTCGGTGGGGCAAACAATACGGGTTTAAAAGATTTAAGAGGCTATTATAAAAAAAACCCTTATGTTTGTTTTTCTTTCTATAGACGAGGAGGTTATTTTAGTTTATATATATATATATATATATAATATATATAAGTATATATATTATGATAATATATAATATATTAGTATAGGCGAGAGGTTCTAATAAAAATCTAGAGATACTAAAAACCAATCCTAACCCTAAACATTCTATTGGTCATCCAATGGCCTAGATTTCGATGGCAGAATTGCTAAATATAGACAATTTAAACACCGCATTAAGTGTGGAAAAGGGTAAGATATGGAACAATTCATTGCATTAAATGGTGACCATGATTGACATGTTGGAACATGATACAAATTTAATACACGTCTATTCAATACTCTCTCTTACATTAAATAGTGCTAACATTCTTAATACTCTCTCTCTAACTCACTTCCGCATCTCTTAAACTCTCACAGAAGAACACAACTAACGCATGTAATCTGCGATTCAACTGAAGTATCTTCAATCCAGATTCACTTCCCAACGAAATTGAATATCGGATTCACTTCCAAATCGATTGCTGTTCCACTGGATTTGTTGAATCACTTCTAATCACCAAAGCAGACATAAAATTATGGTAAATAAACAAGCTATAAATTTGTATAACATGAACGAATTTCACGCTTTTACAAGGCGCAAAAAGTTATCGATTTTTATGGTAAAACAAACACCTCGCATAATTGGAATCTGGATTACACTGCACAGGAATCGATGATTCGCTGAAGTGAATCGAGATTGTCACTCATGCAGTTTATTGAAGTAAAAGAAACTATACGCATGATCGATCACTGGCAGTGAATCGAACGAGTTCACTGCAGTGAATGCGAGATCACTGCATGACGTCATCCGTCTTATAGAACGTGTTTTTGATGATTTTAAGCAAAGATAGTTACAATTTTATGGATAAAACAAACACGCTCACATAATGAATCTTGGATTCACTGGCAGTGAATTTCAATTTAGGACATCAAAATCGGGGACTTCACTGCAGTGAATCTCGATTTACACTGCAGTCGATTGCAATTATGTAGGACAGGCAACTAAAAAAACTCCACAACTTAAAATATCTGAACTGTAAACGCAATTTTAACAAAAAACCTAACAGATTGCATTTCTAAAATATTTTAATAGAACCCTCAAAAAAGATTGCAAATTTTGAAAGATAATCCAACAAAAACAAACAACCACAGATTCGAGTATAGAGAAGAAACACCAAGCTAAAACAAACCTGTACCAGATCGAACTTCACAATTACCTCTAACAAAGAAAAAAAATCAAATTGAAAATTAAAGAAAACGTGACGAACTGAGGGGTGCTCGAGCATGAAGGAACTCTTGGCCATGGATCCCATCCTTTATCATCCCAATACATTGACGAGTAACAAAACCATTGATCAGATCCAAGAAGAAAATAAACACGCTTACAAGAATGCAAATCAAAACTTAGAAATAAAACCTAGACAAGAAAATATAACACCTACCAACAGAAAATAACACCTAGCCAAGAGGAGTACGGGGCTGCGTGTCAAGCTTTGGAGAAATGAAAGGAGAGAGAGAGAGGAGAAACGTGAGAGGAGGTTGCATGGGAAAATGGAGACTCAAATAGAGAAGCATTAATTACCGCTCTTTAGTGGGCTGTTTATTTTACCGTAATTACCCTTGATCAGGGGCTTTAATCTTAGCCATTGCATGAAATCTCAGATCCAATGGAGAGGATGGTTTTTAGTTTTTAGGATGTAGGATGTTTGTATTTTGAACCTTCCTATATAATAGTTATTCCTAATGTATATTATATATATATATATATATATATATATATATATATCAGTATAATGTGTGTGTGTGTGTGTGTGTGTGTGTGTGTGTGTGTGTTTATATTGTTATATTGTAGCCAATTGTACATAAAAATATATATAATGATTTGTAAACATAATTGCAACAAGATCATAGCAAGGTTGTAGTATAACTGTAGTATGAATGCAAGAAATCTAGGTAAAAATAACATAGTTATATGTTATTTAACATAATTATTAATTAAATACGTAATAAGTATAAAATATAATGATTCTATAAAATTTTGGTCACGTTTGTTTTTTATCCCCGAATTAGAGGGTATCATATGCTCTGGACTATAGTATCGGGACTATAGTATCCTGGTACTATTTAATTCTAATTTAATATTTGTTTTCATGACATTGAGACTAATTTAAAATAGTCCGTATTAGTCTTTGTTTTTGGGAAATAATGACCATTAGGATTAGTATCAGAATCAGAATGATATTTTTACTTTCAAGTCACCTAATATTGTATTAGGGCATCTGCTTGGAATTTTTTTTATATTAGGAAATGACATTGTCGAAAAGGCAAATACACTTGAATCATTCAAAATATCAAAAACATACATTTTATTACTAGTATCAAACATGTTGTACCCTGAAAATTACTAAGTATATATAATGAACCCCTTAAGGTAGACGTGTCATGCTTAATTGGTCTACCTTCCTCTAATTAAGGAACCTGACACGGAGAAGCACATAGCCCACCTGTTTTCAAAGAAAGAACTGAGACAAATGACATCTTAAGGTTGGTCTTTCGACTCAAACCTAAGAAGAGTAGCGCTTCTGGGCAGGGATCTACTAAAGGAGTCAAATATTCCGAGATGAATGACGTCTCTCCCTTTATTTCATTGTGGAAGGTTTTAAAAGACGAGTTGACCTATTAGCTTCATCAATCCTATCTACGTAACTTAGTCACCATTGAAGTTAATGTGTGGCTAGGGTCATTATGACTTCCTTACCGGAGTCCTAATGACTCCTTGAATAACGTCAGCACTTCAGCTTCTCTGTCATTGTTACATTAAATGCAAGGATGACTCGCCTATTTTGTGATCGACATTTGTAAAGCGCCATTTGATCAAACCGCTCGCACCAATCTATTCAAGTTACCAAATAGCCCTTACATATTCCTATAAATAGGGGTCGTATCTTTTGGAATTTTAGGTCCGAATAATAATTAAGCTGAGGAAGAATAGAGGGAACCCTAATACTAATAATAATTGAACAATACTTACCAGGGACAAAGAACTGACAAATCGATCGTTATTGTCTCTCTCCTCTTTTTCTCGGATCTCAAAATCAAAAGGAGTTGATCATTTTTTTTAAAGTAAGCACAAAGGAGAATTAATCGTAAAGGAGGAGGATAAAAAATTAAAATTTCCGTGAATGAGATTTCTATTCTCAGCATAATCAGT